TTAGCTCAATGCAGATGAAGCACCCGGAGGCGTTTTACGTGAGCTGGGGGACTTTAACCATGTGAAACTGACGGACACTTTGCCCAGTTTTTACCGGCATGTCATCCATCTTACACTCTGGACTGTGTGTACACACCAACATTCACGGTGCGTACAGAGCTCTTCCTCACCCTCATCTTGGCCTCTCCGACCACATCTCCATCCTTCTGGCGCCAGCATATCGTCCACTGATGAGACAGATTGGACCAACGAAGAAGACAGTCACTGTGTGGCCTAGAGAGGCAGCCTGTGTGCTCCAGGACTGTTTTCAGCACACAGATTGGCAGATCTTCTGAGAGGCAGCTACTTATGAGGGAGAGGTGGACCTGGAGGAATACACCTCCTCTGTTCTTGGGTTTGTCTCTGTAACACTCACTATGTGATTACAGTGCTAGACTCAGAACAGGACCAGTGCTAGGTTCGGCTACGGGAGTAGGGAGAAGTGCAAGTGTATCAATGACCACAGACCAGAAAATAAGTTTAAACTGCCGGCTTATTATTTTTGTAGAAAAGAAAATAAACAACAATTATACAAACAGTTTACATACAATGACACAAATTCAATACAAAATAGTTTCCCTGTTCCTTTCCAAAGGTTTTATTTTATATAATCCCTTTTTTGAAATTGAAACCTATCGTTAGGTATTAAAGGATTTTATTTAAACCTAGGTTATAGTTCTACTTAAGTTCAAGTTGATACTGTTAATCTATTTAATTTACAGTTTGTTTAAATCTTTTAAATCTATTTTAGTTTAGTGTTCTTTTAAGAAGTTAGTTTTTTAATTTTCTGTTTAACCATTTCTTATTTATATTTTAAACCCAACAAACAATTTCACATTCCACATACTGTAACAACAGACATTGAATGTGGTTCAAAGGAAAAACCCAATAAAACATGACACAATCCAGCAGAAGACCGAATAACTTGTGCTTCAAATCAATGTTTTTTTCTCTCTGATGATCCTGAAGGGTTAATCCCGTTTCTCTGAATCCACTGCTATTTCAGCAGGAAAACATGGGCAGGTCATACCAGTTTGGATGATGCGCAGTATCCAGCAAAGGGCGCAGCTCCTGCTAGACGGTTACAGGACTCCTGGGTTACGGCTCGCCATCTTGTTTCTCACTAGCGGAATCCAACTCAGTAATCTACTCGGAATTTCCCGGTCCAATTTCCAGCAGAACCTCAAAAAGGAGTGGTTTAACCAACAAAGCATAACAAAAGTTCTGCTTAACTCTGCTTGGTACTGAATAGAGTAGTATACTCGCCGATTTGGCGGTTGAACATCGTGTGTGGGTGGGGGGAACATGCTTCACCCACCTCAGCTCATCCGTTACTTCCACAGTTTTTGAACATAAAACAACATAAATGCACTACTTTACCTTTCCGTTTCAACGAAATAAAGTACTTTACAAATACGTTCTTCTCAGAAAATAAAATACACTTTTTAACTCACCAAGTCCAGTTCTGTAACATATAACACAATCCCGAACGCAGTCAGGTTGAAAAATGCAGAACGCTCCTTCTCCAAAAATGGAAAAAAATGTTTTTAATCGTCGATTTCTTTTATCTTTTTCTCGTCCGCAGCTCAACTCTCTTAGCTTCTTCGTTCTATGCTTCTTCTTCTGGCGCCAGAGAACATAGCAATCCGGTTGGCTGGAGCTAGTCACATGGGCTACACATCAATGTGACCCTTCAGAATAAGAGATTTATCTCACACTTGACCGTTTTAGATGCTGACAAAATAAAACTGTTTTATACAGATTTTTAACCAAATAAAATATCATAATATGAAATACAACACATGTCTGTAATTATTAGTTTTTATATTTTTAACTATTTTAAGACCTATTTATTCTCTATTTATTCTCCTATTTATTTATGTCCTATTTATCTATTTTATAGCTATTTTTATGAAAAGGCTTACATTTAGGGAGGATTATGTTAACCTGGGTTACATCTCCAATTGTGCTGATGATGTCACCACCACCAAGACAGAAACCTGCTACCCGAACCAGAAACCCTGGCTGAACCCTGGCTCTCGCTGAGGTGAGAGCTCTGCTGAAAGCTAGAGACGCTGCGTTCAGGACAGGCGAGGCATCAGCACTCCGAGAAGCGACCCTAAGGTTAGGGTTAGCCTAACCCCCTCACTACCAGATGCACTTAAGCTCTACTTCTGCTTTGAGCATCCTAACACCTGCCTCAGCACCACCTCCTGGTGACACGCCTCTCTGTGTGACCACAGCAGATGTGAAGAAATCCCTCCAGGAAATCAACCCCTTAAGGCTGCTGGTCCCAATAATATCCCAGGGCGGATTCTGAGGGACTGTGCACATCAGCTGTCTGAGACATCTTCGACACCTCACTGTTACTGGCACCTGTCCTCTCCAGCGTAAAGACCACCACTTTTGTCCCTGTCTCCAAGCGCTACACAGTGACAGGCCTGAATGACGACCGACCAACAGCCTTAACATCAGTAGTCCCCACTAATTTAAATATGCAGACCCATGTATTAATCCAATTTAAAAATACTTTTAAAAGATTAATTTCCTCATAAATGTAGCTATGATAGTTGTTTGAATAAGGTTTCTAGTAAAAAAGCATGAAAATCTGTTTAGGATTTAGCGAGTTATAATTAATAAAATGCGATGACACTTAATTGTGCCTCAAACGTACAACGCTGAGTGGAATGGGCGACCACTCCAAGATGGCAGCCCTACATCACGTCAGCGACAGTAGGTAAGAGTGGCCCATGAGGCGCCTATTCTTTTATTATGTCTATCATTGACATAATAACGTTCATACAATTAATAAACCTAAAACCAGTTTATCAAGGTAGGAGTTCAGATTAATGACTAGTTCTCTGTCATTAATCTGAACTTTATTTGAAAATCATATGTAGAAATTGCATTACCCTGATCCTATCTCAATACAGCAGCTAACAGTGCGGTACTATAATTTTTCATTCATTGTTTAAGTAAAATTGTGAAGGTTAAATAAATCTACCACTAAATGTTAACAAAACACATTTAGTATAATTTCCTCAGTACCCCTGCTGGCCCCCCTCTAGGACCGCCTCTGGCCTGCAGGTCTGTGTCTGGTGTATTTTTGCTTGGCATGTTTTTTTTCTTCATTGATAGGAAGTCAGCTTATCCAAACTGGTAAATATAATAGCGAAATAATAATAAAATGACCACTGTGCCCTGAATTCTCAAAACAAACATTTTCAGTTATCTTGCGGCTTTCAATAAAATATAATTCAATTAAAATAAAATAAATGATGTAACTCGGCTAATGCTAATGGCTACTTCCCGTTATTATTGTGGCGATGCGATTCTGATTTTCAGTTGCTCCTCGCTGTGATTCTGTATTGAAAACGAAGCTGCTCTCCTCATTTTCCAACGTTGCACGCTCTTCAAATGTCACCATTTATGTTTATGCTCTTTCTGTCCGCACATCCGGGCAACACTGACGTCATCTGCGATCAGTGTCTTCAGTTGTTCTTTGTTTTTATTAGCTTCCTTCGTCTTGTTCGTCTTGTATGATCGTGTGACAAGTCTGTTATCTAACATTGCTGAATAACTTTTCTGTCATCCATATGCAGTGGGATCCATTATTTCTGTAACAGAGCGCAGTTGTGTGACGTCAACATCCTTCTTCTGCGCATGCGGGTCGCTTTGGGGTCATGACCGTTTACTGAAAAGCCTGACTGCGGTTATTTAGTAGCAACAAGGACTACGCGAAAAATCGGACATAAATTTTTTTGTTGTTGTTTTTGACCTTATTCTAGTTAGGCGTTACTTTGGTTTTAAGTTGCTGTGTATTTGACTTACAGGTAGATGTGTATAATCAGAAAATGCCATAAAACAGAACTTGACTGACATCAAGAAGTAGGCGGAGATCAAGAAAATGTAAAATTATCTCCCCAATGTTAAATAAAGATCATAAATCTCCTCCATGCCTGGCTCATCATTAGCTTCAAATCTAAAAATGTCCTGCATTCAAGTGATTTAATCATATTTTGAGTGTTTATAGTTCAGTCATAACTTTAGTGCAACTTTTGGCTGTATATTCAGTTTCTTTTATTAAGCTTTAAATTAACATAATGATTTATATTTATATCTAAAAATCACTAGGTGCTGATTTAATTATAATGAACACTGAAAAAGACCAAAAATGGAACAAAAATAATAAAATTGTTACTTTTCAAATTGTAGATGTAATCTGTATGAACAATTTATAATAAATAGTGTGTAGATTATACATTTTCTTTGTTAAATTCAGTTTTTCTGCTTGGGGAATTGATACAATAACTAATAGATATGAAGAACATATCAGGAGAAACCCGGTGTGGAGTAACCACCGCCTATTATTAGACCTACTAATTAGTCTAATATTAGCTGAATGGGCAGGTGATGTGCGGTGCTGAAGCATTGTGACAACAGATGGAGCCTTTGATATATATCCTCCCCTCAGATCTTTATTGAAATGACAAAAACAAAAGCACGTTTGCAGCTATGTATGTACCATAAAGGACACGTGGCGTCCTTGCGTCCCCTGACAAAGTGAGACACGGGGGACACTGATGTTCTGGACTCCGACACAAGATTAGCCTATACACCAGTGTCTAAAGCACAAATAGGATTACTTTGGCTGCAGAAATATCCCCCAGGCATGTGCCACGCTCTCTCAAAGGCAACTAGCCAGCTTATTACAGCAGCTGCTTTTTCATGGTGTTTATGTGTTAACAGCATGTTGACATATCTGCAGCTAAAATGCTTTAAATCACCAATATGTATTATGGATTATGCTAAATTTAGACTGGTTGTTACAGTCCAAGCACTAACCGACACCAAGGGATTACCAAGTTCGGGCCAACAGTGCTTATATTTTCCTGTTGACGCTTGCGGGAGAATGCTCTCCTCCGTTTTCCTGAAGGAACACCAAACCGTTTCAGGCTAATATGAAGGGATCTGTGGGTGTGTGATTGAAACTGGCGTCTGCGAAAATGGCCAGAGTGCCCACAGTGGTGAAGACGACGAAGATCCAGAGGAACATGCGGTCCACCACCATGGCCACGAACTGCCAGTCCTCTTTCAGCTGTCGACAGAGAGGGATTTAGGAAATGTAGAGAAGATGGAAACCAGAGAACATGAGGATTAGTCTGCAGGGATCTTGTGATGTAACCAGAGGACAGGAAAACTCACCGCTTCGTAGTCTTTCTCAGCCTGCAGAGCCTCAGCGATGTACGTGATGGCGTCGATGGCCGACTTGAGCTCGTCAGGCAGAGTGAGGTAGGAGCTCGGGCCGTCAATGAACTTCTTCAAATCGGTGCAAAGCCCCTCTGGCTGGAACCTGCAGAGCAAAGGACATAACGGCGTTTTGCAGATGATGAAAACGAGTCAGAGATCCAGAGAACATCTGAATGAATGTAAAGTTTATAATAGAAACTCTGTTGCAGGGTTTGGTTACCCATAATGCTTCCTTGAACAGGTTAGGATAGGTCTACGGCCTGTACACAACATTCTCATAAAATTTTTTTTGCACATAATTCTTAGATAATGAGATTTTAGTCTGATCAGTTCTGCTGATTTTGAGTTGTTTTACGGCTTCTTGTCACTTTAATCCAAACAATATGCTTTTGGTCATGCTCATGGCTGCTTGCAGCACATAAAAATGGCTGCAAACAGATGTGCAATTATACAACCATGCATCTTTGAAAAGCAGAAGTGGAGCCTCCTGCACAACCAGCGAGACTGCAGCACGTGGTTTCTGGATGGTACGTCAAGTACAAAATGGTGTCTTTTCCAGCAGCCATTGCACAGCTCATACAGTGGTAAACATGCTGGAGTTCCACTTGAGTTGCTAGGTAACGGGCTGGGCTTCAGTGGGGTTGCTAGGTAACGGCATAAGGCCTGCTGATTTGTGACGTTACATTCCAGAGGTTTGAGAAATGGCTCATATTCCAGACACCAAAAAACATAAACTTATTGCCAAAAACCGGCTGGGTGTTATTTTGTACACTTCACACTGGAACTGGAAAATATTTTAGATATCCAAAAAAGACACAATAAATAAGATGGAAATAAAAATCACACAAACCATAGATAAAATAGATTATGAAGTCTTTGTAAACAAAATTACCCTTCAAAAAATATTTATCAGAATGAAATGATCAAGCTCACTTTAATTTATTTTTTAAATTTCACACATTTGGGACAAATATATTCCAAAGAGTAACATTTATATTTCCAAACTGTAGAGACACACTGGGTTGCAGGTCTGGTCCAGGTCCAAACGTAAATTAAAGTCTATAAAGCTGTGAAGCAGGCAATACGTCTGGCTTCCTCTCTTCTGCCAGTCAGAGGAATAAAGGGAAGGTCAGGAGCGCCGGTACCGCTGTGGGAGCCGCTGCTTGGATCCTGCTGACCGCCCAGAATCTCTTACGTGAGAATGTGTGAATGTTTCAGTGTTTACTTGTTTCCCTCAGTTACCAGCCATCAGCCGGTGCCAGGAGCCGCTGGGGGAGGCCAGGAAAACGCTCTGAGGCCGCCTTGCACAGCTGCCACTGAGAAATGTTCACAGCCACGGTAATTCAAACGTTCTTTCCCCGCCGTGACATTAAATTATATGGAAAAGGGAAGAGCAGGCTGAGAGCTGAAGCACAAAACGCAACCACAGCTTCTACACTGAGCCAAAATATTAAAGAATATCATGACAGAAAATGTGACACGGTTTCACAAAAATACTCACATTTTTACCAACAAAGGACACAGAAATACAAATTTAACACAACAAAGAGAAAACAAAACTACATTTCAAATAGTATTTTGTAGTTCTGAACATGAGGTTAACAACTACTTATCTACAATGGAGGATTATGGAAATTATGAATAAAAGAAGAAATAGAGTAAGTACAACTTTCGCCAAAAAACTTAGATCAATTTCAAATATGTACAAGAAACAATGTGGAAATTTTCTGATATTGAAAACTTAAAAAAATAAAAAAAATTCCACTGTGTTAAAAATTACTGTAGTAAAATTATGACTTCATTCTAGTGTTACGACTTAATTCTCATAATATTATACCTTTATTCTGGTAATTTTCTGACTTTATTTTTGAAATATTATGAATTTATTCTCAAAATATTATGATTTTATTCTTGTATTATTATGGCTTCATTCTCCTAGTACTATGACTTTATTCTGATAACTTTACATCTTTATTTTGGTAATTTTCTGGCTTTATTCTTGAAATATTATGAATTAATCTCATTTGTTTTGTTTTTCTTAGCCTGGCCCTGAGACTTTGTCATAACAATCCAAACTATTCCTATTTATAATTATTTCTTGACAAAATAAATAATAATTTTCATACATTTTAAAAATAATTTTAGTTTTTGTTTAGACACTGTAATCAACCAAGCCGCTAAGCCACTGCAGACTCCGTCCACCAGAGGGCAGCGTTGCTCTGTGGCTGCATGCGGCAGTGTGAGGAAAACGACCAGCTGCTTGGTATTCTGCTCATGACCTGCTGAGTTTACGATGCAGAGCTGCCATCACGGCGCTCTGAGCACGGCAGGTGAGCAGGCTGTGACCTCAGACAGGTGAAGCTCCATCAGGTAGACGGAAACAGGGAGCGGGGAAAGGATGGAGAGCAGATACAGTTTGACCTTTCAACCCCTTCCCTGCTCTCCGTCTTTTATGACTCAGAGTCACACTTCATCAGCAAGAAGAAAATTACTATTCAGGAGATTAATTTTAAGGAAAACTGGCCAGGTCTGGTGCCAAGACATCCACTAAACCAATTAGAAAGGTGCATGTGAGTGTATATATGGCCGACCGGGAGATACTGCTGTCTCATCAGATTGTTCTGACACAACCGCCCCTCCTCTTACTGAGACACACATCTTCTGCTCTCCTGTGTCAGAGTCAATTTGTGCGGGTCATTATTATTTCAGCGGCTGTTCTTTTCCCTCCAGACATATTTTACTTCTCACAGAGGACAGACGCTCTGCTGGGACGGTTTGGAGAGTTTAGTGGGAAAAACATGAAGAAGGGATTGAGAGTCTGGGAGTAACTAGTTACATTCACTCAGTTACATTCGCTTGAGTAACTTCATTTGAAATTTTAAAAAAGGAGTATTGGTACTTCTACTTGAATAGTTTTATTATGAAGTATTTATTCTCTTACTTGAGTAAAATTTCTGGATTTTCTTCCCACTGAATGAAAAGCAAACATGTTTTAACCAGAAATCCATCGGACTCAGACACACACCTGCTGTTTTTGTTAAAGTTTCAGCAGTTTTTTATTGAAAGAAACTGATTTGGAAACATTTATTTTGTCTGATTTTGTTACTTATGTGAATTATTGTCATTTTGGTCTTTAAAATATCAAAATTTCTACTTAACTTTATATTTTGCTCAGTCTGATGATGTAATTTTTAAATATTAAATGATTGATAATTTGATCAGTTACTCAGTACTTTTTACCAAATGTTTTTTTTACTCTTATTGAGTAATTTCAATAAGTACTTTTTACTTTTACTTGAAGTACTGTTACTCTTACTTGACTGTAATTTTTAGGTTCTCTGTTCATGTACCGATCTCCAAACTAATGCTAGACACCGAGGGAATCTGTGAAACTCGCGATGACGGGGAGAAGCTGTACCGTACAGCCAGCAGGCGCACACACGAGAGTGATTGACAGCGCTAAGACCCGCCTTCTGGTTTTTATTGGTTGTTTCTAGTTAGTGCTGGGAGAAGGCAAAGGAGCTTGATTTATTTGTCACAGATTATCTGTCTCTTTCCACATATTTCAACAAATATGTAAAAAAGTATATTTTTTATTGGTGCCGTTTTCCTTAATTTTGGGAGATCGGTGATCGCCCTCTGGAATCCGCTAGCTCCTTGTAAGTCAGATATTTCACACGTCTGTCTGCGTCTGAACCAGTTTAATTCCAAATCAAGCTGCTTCTTTAGCAGCTAGCTGGTCTTATCCCGTTGGCTAGCGCCTCAGGATGCTCACCTGTTGGGCTTGGGGAACAGGATGGACAAGTCCGGCTTGCGGATGAAATACTCGTCGGCGGCTTTGCTGATGGTCATCACCATCTGCTTCTCCCTGCGGGGAATCATCTCGAGGGAAAGCGGCGTCTCCACTTTGGGACGCATCATGTAGAGGTAAGGAGGCAGCATGTGGATGAAGATCTGGGTGGAGAGTGAAGGGCAAAGAGTTAATCTGAGATTATGACGATACAAATGCTTTTTTCTTACTAACTAGATTATTTATGCTTCACACTAAAGCTGTTGTATTATTTTTTAAATTTCAATTTCTGTTGTATTTATATCACAAAAGACTGTTTAAAGTTAAATAATTGTTGGCTAATATATTCCAACTGTTATTATCCGACACCAGGGGTGTTCAAACTGCGGCCCGGGGGCCTTTTGTGGCCCTTACAATACTTTTGTGTGGCCCTGACAATGCATCCAGTCGATGCAGATGAACGTTTTTGTAATTTTAAAATTAAGTACAACACAATGAATTTTTTCTTTTATTAGCCTTTTTTCTTTAAGTTTTTTTTTCCATAAACATTCAGCGACTTTTTACTCAACAACTGACTAAGGCCACCGATCCATTATATTTTGTTAAATACAAATATTTTTTTTGTTTTATATTCCAAAAAGTTAAATGTAGATACAATGTTATATTTTTTTTATTTTAAAATGGAATTGAATTGTTTATTTGTATCTTTTAATGTATATATAAAATTGTATAAAAGGTCTTAAATGAAAAACCTGCAGAATGAACCTTTTTATTCAATTAATTGATTAATCGTGAGAATAATCAGTTTCTTAAATAATCATTAGTTACAGCCCTAGGTTTTAGTTTAATAAATAACAATTTCGTCACATTTGGCTCATGAATTACAGATGACTGAGCTTTTAAATCCCTGTGCAGGGTGCTGGTTGGTTAGGTCTCCAAGCTCATTTCTTCTACCTTCTTTGCTCTCGTTGTACAAATTGCCATTTACAATTTTGCTTATTTATTGTGTAAATTAGCAGCAACACGTCTGTTCAGTCTGATTAGAAACCACTGCTTTGTAATTCATGTTGCTCTGGAGAAAAAAAACTAATTCCTCTGGAGTTTCCAAAGAAGCACTTTCAGTTGGACTCGCGTTGGGCAACACCCAAGTTTCTGCTGTTAAATTCAAATTTACAGTTTGGTGGATCAATGTGAGAGAAGGAATATTTGCCTTTTAAAGAACGAGCAGGGCGATAAAACAGCTCATCATACGGACAAACGTTGGCCTTGATCGATACAGTAAAGGTTTTAATAGGTTCATTTCTGCTCTGTTTCATGAGTTTTAAGATGCTTTTTAAATAACTCATCATGGGCTTAATGATAAAAATCAACCGGCACTGAATATGTAACATGATTAGGTCACAATAATCAATAAATCAATTAATTGCATGATAAATCAAAGAAACCCAATAATTTCCATTGGCATGATTTGTTGTTTTTCTGTTTCTACCAAAAACTGGATGATAAAACTCTTCAGCTGGTGTTTTGTTTGCAGAGACTTTGTTATTAATTTGTTGTTTCTGTTTATTTATTTATTCTGGATATTTAAAATGGCTTCCAGTTCCAGTGCTAAAAGTTCATGAGGATCTAAAGTTTTTGAGAATCTGTTCTAACTTTATTTTGCCATTATTTCCATTATATTAGTTGAAAACAACAATATTATCATTTATTGGAATAACATCTGGAACTATTTGTTACTATTTGATTATATTTAATGAATTAAAAATTATGACCTCAGAAACGAATATAAAGTCTTAATTTTTTACCTTTTCATAATAAAGCTGATGGTGAACATCAGGCGGGTTTTGTTAATTCAGAACTGGAAATATTTCCTACTTGATGTTATAAATGTATTAATACATATTAAAGTTCAACAAGCTTTTCTGTTCCAGGTGAAGAAAATAATTTCTAATGTGACACGTTAGAGTCTCTTCAAGAGAAAAAGAGTCTATAACTTTAACTTTGTCCTTTAGCTACTTTCTAACTAATTTATTGGTATTTTTGAATAATTTCCCATTCAAACTATTTGTCTAAACTTTAACTTCTTAGCTGATGTTTTAACATTTGTTCTTTTTTTGTCCCTCCAGAACTTCAGAATTGTTTTAGTATTTTTGTTTGTTTTTGCAATCAAAATTACAAATTAGCAAAATGTATTTACTTATTGAACCCCTTCCTATGAAAGTGTTCAACTGCCAGAACTTGGGGAAAAAAGAAATGAATTGGAATTTCACAATATTTCTAAAAATATTAAAAAAAATTTGGAAATGTTTCAAAAAATTTTTTTTTTTTTAAATCTCTAATTTTGATTGTAAAAATAAATAAAAAAAAAATCATGAGGGACTAAGAAAAGAGCAATATGTGGAAATGTTAAAGTATCAGCTAAGTCAGTGGTTCCCAAACTTTTTCTTCTGCGCCCCCCCCTATGGATTACAAATGGCTGTCTGGTTGAAACGACGCGTGTGAGGGGGGTGGGGGGGGATCCACTTTTTTGGGGGCAAAATGAATGTACGTAGCTGAAAATAGACACCAACATCGGTAGCCTACAAGGTACTTGTTAAGCTTGTTAAGCTTAAGGTTCTGTATTGATATTAGCTAGTCATCTTTTAGCTAACATTACCTGCATCCAACAGCTTTACTCAACTCAGTCGGTTAGTTTGGAGGGAAAAACTGTGAAAAGTTCTTTGCGTTTTGCTGGTTTGCTGCCGTGATTCTAACACAAACCTACGTAGCTCCGCCCAGCAGCAGCAGGTCTCCTTCACAGGTGGAAACCCAGCGCGAGCGTCGTAGCGCTCAAGTTGCGTTTAAAGGCGGCTCGGAAAAACAGGTTACAACATGTTAACAGTAGATTAAACAGTTTTAACTGCTGATAAAAGTGACAGAGGACACAAATATGGGAAGTGTGGAAGCCTCTACTGTATCAAATTGACATAGGAATAACAGAAAGTTGGCCATTCTAAGGTAAAAACCCAGCGCATACAGTGTTCATGTTTTGCCTTTTTTTCATTCAGACGGCTTCCCGCCCCCCCTGCAATGACACGGCGCCCCCCTTAGGGGGCGCGCCCCACAGTTTGGGAACCTCTGACCTAAGTTAAAATAATTCATTATAACAAAGTTTTCTGTTGAAACGAGAAAAGAAACTTGTTCAAATCAGATTTCTTGTTTTAATGAGAAAGTTTCTCAATTTAAGAAGATATAAAAATAAACTTTAAAACTTTAGATTCTCCTAAATTGTTTAAAGGTTCAGTAATCATAGTGACTGAAGAAAAAAAAATCTATTTCTCACTATTCTGGGATTTAGCAAATAGAAATATTTTGGGTTTTAAACAAGAAACTTTTAGCCCGATTTATGTCAAAAAGTGAGAAAAACAATTACTTTTATATACAGTGAATATAAATATTTACTTTAATTGTAGAAACTGGTATTTCTATCTCTAATAAAGCCTCAAACAGGCATAAATGTGCTTTTTGTTGTGCAGAAGTTTACTTCCTCCATCATGTTATGAACCCAGTGATCTTCTGGAGAGCAGGACTGGAACAAGCTGAACATATAAAGGTCGTCTCTTCCAGCTACGCTCCATTAGACCGTGTAAATCACCTGTATGCAAGTACTGAGGTACAATCTCAGATGAGCGTTCCCTGAAAGGTGTGACAGACCGACGTAAAGAGCCGTAATTAGCTTCACATTATGTACAGTGAGGGCAGCAGCAGCTGATGGGGGTTAATGGTACAGGGTGACATTTACATTGGCGACTCTTAATCCAACAATCGCTGCCTCCTCACACAGATTAATGCTAAATTAAACCCAGTGCCGTCTGCTGGAACAGGAAGTTGTAGTCAATAACATTTAACTTGTTTAAGCTTTAAAACTCAGTTAAAGTAATGATTAATCAGTTGTTACAGTTTGTTATATTAACCTAATTTATGAGAATTACTTCTGAATGATGTCTAAGGTAGGTATGATACTCCAGTAGACTCGGTTTGGACCAAAAATTAAACATTTGTTACATTTTCAGATGGTGTGGTTCTCTTTCACACTGGATTGTGTCAAATGATTCAAATTAACCTGTTTCCCTCCTCGCCTGTTCCCCTCCTCGCCTGGGGCGGCGCTACAACAAGAACCACTGAACAAATTGACATGAAAACCTCTGAAGAAAATACTGAGCGCAACTTCCTTCTTCCCGAAATGTAAACAAAAATGGATCGGCGTCAGATTTTTTTGTAGGATTTCTCATTTGTCTTTGAGTCTGGTCCGCTTGGTGTTCACATATGAACCGCACCAGAATTCACTTCAACTGAACCAAGACTTAGGTTTTAAGTTCACTTCTTTGGTCCTCACCAGTTTGATTGCGCATTTGCCCTTCCATAAAGAAACTGAACTTTCTAGGTAAATGAACTGTAGTTTGATTCAAGTGGACTAAACAGGCCTGGTGTGAATGCAAACTAAGGGTGCATTTGTACGGCGAGGTGTGATTGCGCAATCAAACTCCAACGCGGACCATTAAAGCAGACTCTGGTCCGCCTACAAACCTTGGTCTGGGTTCAGTTAAAGTGAACCTTGGCGTGGTTTTGATGCAGATTTGAATGCCAAGCGAACCAGAAAGCAGGAAGTGGACTACAATGCAGGGCATTCTGGGTAAATACTAGAGCTGTGTAATAATATCGATATTGCG